TTTTAAAGTTACACAGGATCAATTAAATCCAAAGCATGCACTGCTCGTGAACTGTGATCGAAACGTCAATTACCTACAATGACAAAAGAAATACATTGTGTGTATTCCGTCGCTATACATGTTGTCTGTCCAACGTCCCCACCTAAAAAGAAATAAAAATACTAAAAGTTTTCGCTATTATAAAGCTTCGTCACGTGACGCCACAATCTGGCGCGAGACAAAGACGCGCGCGGGACCTAAAATAGAATAAAAACTTTCCAAACTAAATATAGAAACTTAACCAACACACCAATATGGACCTTTCAAAGAAAGAAACAAACAAACAAACACACAAACAAACATACACATATATCAATCAATCAATCATGTTTCAGAAGGGGAAAGACCGTTTACAATTGCTTTTTTAAGCAATTGATTTATATTTTTACTTTTTATTCATCTAGTAAATTTTTAAGGCATGGCTGGACTTGATATAGAAAAGTTATATGTAGTTTATGTTCTAGAAAATTAAAAACTGACCTGGAATTTTATGTGCATTTTTATCCAGTCTGCAGAAGCTAGCAAAATAAACAAACACCTGAGTTTTATTTGATACAGTCCACTCAGTTACACAGTTTAAATCACCTATTGTTTGCAGATGTCCATTGTTCATCAATTGTCCATTTAAATCAATACAACCCACAACATATATTATATGAGGAGAGCTTCTCAATCCACTTTCCCAACTTAGTTTATTTTGGCAGCTTCTGGAGGAATGAAAACTAAAGGCTCACCTGCATCTTCAACAATGGTAACTTTTTAGTAAAAATCATCATGAAAGGGGAAGAACTATATTAAGAGTAAACTGACAGTTTCAATTATGTTCACAAGTTTGTAGATCTTATCCTGCTGATGATTTTTCTTTTTTAAAGTTTCTATTTAAAATTGAGAATGGAAATGAGGAATGTGTCAAAGAGACAACAACCCGACCAAAGAGCAGAAAACAGCCGGAGGCCACCAATGGGTCTTCAACACAGCGAGAAAATCCCGCACCCGGAGTAGGGCTTCAGCTGGCTCCTATACAAAAATGTGTACTAGTTCAATGAAAATGAACGTCACACTAAACTCCAAAACATATAAAGGAACTAAAATTAAAAAAAACAACATACAAGACTAACAAAGGCTATTTATCTATTATGGTTTTCAATATAATAAGCAAAACATGCATAAAATGTTAAAAAAAATCATTCAAGGGCAATAACTCAAATAACGAGTCAACTGAAGATTTCGGCACATTTGTAGATCTTGTCTTGCTGATCATTTGTGCTATTTAAAGTTTATATCTATCTATTACAGTTTTCAAGATAACTTATGCAAAAATGGGGAAAATCGTCATTAAAGGGCAATAACTTCAATAAGGAGTCTACTAACGAATTAGTAGTGTCGATCTTGTCCTGAAGATTTCGATTATTTTACCTTTTTGTATATCCCGCTGTCGCGCTGATCAATTTTGCTTTTTGAAGATTCTGTCTATTTATTATAATTTTTATGATATCAGGAAATAACGCATAATTTGATAAAAACCGCCATTAAAGGGTAATAATTCTATTAATTAGGTTGTTTGACGATTGTGGTAATGTTGACTGTTTTGTAGATCTTGTCTTATTGATCATTTCTGTTTTTTAAAGAGGCATTAGGTACGAGATATAAATAAAATTCAGATATGATTTGTTTTTGTTCAGTCATAAATGAAAGTGATATAATGAAATAATAATTCGCTTTTAGCAGCAAATCTGGTTCAATTTTGTCAAAATAAGCTAACAAACATCGTTGATGAACTATTCACTTGCAAGTGAATAATTCGACCTATTTGAATCCGTATTCATGTGACCTTCAACTTAACCCCTTAGCTGGAGATGGGTTACGCATGTATTCAGATATTAAAAGGAAAAGAATGTCAACATTGAAAGTGAAACAAAGATGAACCATTTGGTTGATGGAATCGATCGATCTTATACAGGTAAAACGATGATAAACATACTTTTTAATCTACGATATGAAATCAAACAGACCTAGAAAAATCCAATTACACTCGTGGTCGCTATCTGTTTATATCTATAATTATGTTAATATCGGGTTATATGACCGTCGGCAGTCTTCGGAGGTCATCTCGATGGTTAATTAGATGACGTCTAGACAAAAATACACACGAAATGTTGATACATATCACCGAGTCCATGCATTGTTTTAAAATTGTTTATTTTAGACTTTTTGTAATTTGGATATTTGTTTTAGTATGTTATAAATCAAATATGAGAATTTGAGTCAAATCGGTGAACATGAATTTGACAGCTAATGCCCCTTTAAATTTTCTATTTATCTATTATAACTTTCGAGATAATAGGCAAACATTTTTAAAAATGGTAAAATTCATCATTTAAGGGCAATAACTCCTATAAGAAGTCGTCTGACAGTTTTGACTTGAATAGACAATAGGTAGAGCTCAACATTTTGAACATGTTCGTCCCTGTCAGATTTCTCTATTAATAGCGGCTTTCGGAATAAGTAGGCAAAACTTACATTTTACCCCTTTGTTCTATTTTTAGCAATGTCGGCCATCGACAGCCGAAGTCGTCGAACACCGTTATATACATTAGACATCCTAATAATGAGGAGAAGATTTTTGTAAAAGTTAACGAACAACGGACGCCAAGTGACGAGAAAAGCTCAATTTGCCTTTCGGCCAGGTGAACTAAAAATGAATAACGAAAAGTTTTTGATATTCTGAAACTTAAAATACATTTCAATTTTGTATATCTAGGTCCAGCCATGCTCTAAAACTTTTCCAGGGGGCACAGGTTTGTCTGAACTCAGAGTGAAATTTGTGGTGTAAATACGACCATATTTGCTACAAGGTTATGATGAACATTAACCTTGACCTTCAAATTTTGAATTTTCAGTATACAAACCTTAAACTTAGTTTCTAGGTCAGTACAATTCTTTGACCGATCAGCTACCATGTGTCAATCTAACACAGTGGCAATGATTATATAAATGAATGGCTGAAAAAGAAATCTCAAAACTGAATTTTACAACAGCAACTAAAATGCATGTTCGGGGTTGAGTGTCTTACTATACGGACCACTCTGGTTGATTCAGTCAACATAAACATATGAATGTGTGGCATATAATAATATCCAAGCAAAAAACCTTTCACAGATAATTATACAAACATTTAGATGAATGAACAGAAAGTCACAGGTAAAAACAATTATGCAAAACAAATATGACAAAAAGTTACAATGAATATCTGCATGTTCAATATACATGTATACATTGATATGACAAAAAGTCGCAATTTATATTGCCTATAATATTTACAAAGTAACAAGACAAAACGTAACATCTCATATTTTCATTAGAATAGGACCAAAAAATATCACATTTTTCCACACATTCTTATCATGATACAATTAAAAAAAAAACCAATGACCTCACTATAGACATTGGGTACAAAAAAGGAAACGAAGAATAAAACATACTATTTAAAAGACATCAACTTACAACAATTATACCGCCTCGGTACTAACATGCTTGCAATTGTGTTAGGTCTTAGGTTTGATCTCTGGTAGTGTCAAACCAATGATACTTGAAAATTGGTATTTGCAGCTTTTCTACTTAGCACGTGAAAAATCCGACTCATTCTGTCGGTCTATTACAAAGCAAGATTCAAGATTTATATCACAGTTTCGTCCTAAATGTGCATTAACAGCCAAACACCATCGTACAATTATCATTACTTATCATGAAATATATTAGGAATATATAAACCTGAAATAAACAATAAAGATATCAGCTGTTCAGGGTGATTAAATGCAATATTCAACTTCATTTTACCGGATTTCACAGATGAATGGACTTTGTTTGGTTTCTGCAGTTAAGGTTTTCATACAATCTGGGGTTTAAGTTTTTTATACATAAATAACTTGGTGAAACCTTCATGGAATTTTAGGAAACTTGGACAGAAGATTCTTCTTGATCATTAGACAGAATCCAGAGCTATGTTCATCTCATTTTTTTGATTTTGAGTCTTGGTTAAAGTTTTTTTAAATCAATAACTTTGTCGAAACTCTTTAGAATTTAATGACACTTCTACATATTTTTAAAATATGTCTCTCATTTTCCTCTATTTTACTGAAACATGGACTTCCTTTTTGCCATTTGCATACAGTTATTCTTTTTTCATACATCAATAGGTTGTCAAATATTCATGGAATGTTACGAAATTTGGACAGAAAAAGAAAAAGTGTACTAGTGGAAAAGTTTATATTTTGTCCATTTTTCCGTATGATAACTATAAATGATAAATAGACTTGTTTGGCAGATACCATTGAACTTTTACATTGACAGCATCAATCGCAGGCGAGACACAGAGATCCTCAGAACCCTTAACGAAGTGTTTTAGTGTAGGTATTCCAACTAAATTTTCAGAAGTTAAAAAAAAAGAATATTGTTAATAAACAGCTATCTGCATAACAAATACCAAATAACATCAAACCGCATTATTTTGTTCTTTTTACATATATTTTGGATGTACATGCAATAAAAGCAACTTTTTATTTTTGTTTCAACTTGTTCTTTTAATAGGCCCGAGAACACAGTTGTTTCGTAGTGCATTTATTTAGACAAAAAACGCAAATAAAAAAATCGTACCTGCTCTATCTAAAAATGATTTTTACAGTGTAGTGTACTACTTTTGGGACTAACTATATCAAAATTATAGCAAAGTCCATCGGCTCTTACTCAAAATATGGACAATTTTATGTTATGGGGGTCTATAATTCAGTTTGACAGCCTCAGACATACTTATTTTTTACCTTTTCATACTGGACCAAATCACCACTTTACCTAAAAATTCATGCCCCTACTTACTATTTTATGCATAAAATATAAAGAAATGAATTTGGAAGGTGTATGAAAAAAATTGCAAGTTTTACAATGACCACACTAGGGACTCCAGACAACGAAAATCAAAGGACGATAACGGTGTCCCCGTCCCAGTAGCGAATGTTAAAACAATAGTTACAGTAGTAAAAATATAACCAGTTAGGTCTGAACTATGCGGCGTTATCTGACGAATATCCATACAGAGAGTAGTAGACATATGGAACAGCTTGCCAGAACATGGTGTAACAACCACCAAAGTGAAGATATTGGAAAATAGACTAGACACATTGGAAATACCATCCTATGAAATAAGACTATACATTTGAGTATGGACAACACACAAGTAGAGGAACGGAAAAGATGACACTATGGTAGAGGAAACGATATAGATGAACATAGAGGAATAGCAGCTATTGCTTTCATAACGCACGTAGGTAAACGTAGGTAATGAAAAAAAACTAAAATAAGTTAGAAGAAACCAACAAATATAAATATTAAAAAAAAAAAAAACCTCAATACTTTCTCAAATATTATCAACTCTGGAATTTTGAAGTAATTTCTTGATTATCATTAGGATGAATAGAAATCTTTCAAATCATCACTTTAAAATACATGGAAAATATTTGTTCATAGTTTACTGATAAAAGCAAGAGTCAGGGAGACATATCCTCGACTTTTTGCCCTTCTACAGGTATCATTGATCACATCTTAGTCCCTCTGTCCTTATGTATAGTTGTCTCGTTGGCAATCATACATGCCGATGACACATATTGTTCCTGATATAAAATTTAGAAGAGAAATTAAAGCAATTCGATTGGACGCCGTTCGGAATTGCTAACATGAGCTAATGAATCATGCATTTAAATCATGAAATTATATCAAATCTAAAACGTAATTACTATTCCATTGAATGATTATAAATCAGAAAGTTGTTCTTAATTGCCAAAAAGGCATATTCGAGCTAAGTTTTTAGAATACACAAGACCATACACAATGTAACTGAATTTTAAGACAAAACATTGCTCAAGCAACATATATATAATTATAGATCGCCCCCGGTTTTTGGCTGGGTTCGAGATGCTCACTTCTTAGTTTTCTATGTTGTGTTTTGTATACTGTTGTTTGTCTTTTTGGTCTTTTTCCGGTTTTGTTTTGCCATGGCTTTGTCTGTTTGTCATCGACTTATGAATTTGAATATCCCTTTGGTATCTTCCGACTTTCTTTTACACTCATAGTGAAAAGAGTAGGGCTTATTTCTGCTAACTATTTATCCCAAAAATGTACGAGAAGGACATCGTTAACTAACACAATATTTGAAGTATATCATCCATGTATATAGTTTTTCGGATACAAATTAGATCATTATGATGAGCAATGTCCTTCGATTCATAGTTTGACAAAAATATGTAAATGTTGCAATTTTGTATAAAAACGTAAAAGGTAAAAACGAAAACGTTGACAGACGACTTTGAAAATTATACTACTTTATAGTTTTCATTGTATGAAAAATAAACCAAAATTTTGCCTCATGCATTAATAAAATGGAATCTTTAAAAAGGCACCCCCTTTTTTAAATTCAAATTCAAATTCAAATATTTATTGCCATATAAACTTTAAACAATAAGTTTGTGGCAAATACAAAATAAATAACAATATAACTGAACTTCACATATATATACACTATCATTTAATAACAGTAAATAGTCCAGTGTCCCCTGTCCTCAGTTCTAATGACTTTTTGGTGTAGGAACCCAACCATAGTTATATAATCATAAAATAGGCATTTTAATATCAACCGAGATATTTTGATATAAGTTACACATTGCAGCCTTCAATGAAGGATTTCGATTCCAGTGACAGCATTGCAAAAATTATAGGTACAATTTAAGTTTTTGAATTAATATCATATGTGAACAGAAGTTGGTGAATAATTTAGATTAATCGAACTTGATGAAAAAGTATAACAAAAATACCGAACTCTGAAGTAAATTCAGAATGGAGGAAGTCCATATAAACTGACAAATTCAAACATTAGACTTTATCAACCAACGGAACGAATTAAAAACAACTGTCATATTCCTGACTTGGTACAGGCATTTTCCAAAGAAACTTGTGGGTTAAACCTGGATTTATACTATAGATAGCTAAACCTCCACCTTGTATGACAGTTGTTAATGGCCCCGTTATATTGACAAACTTGGGTGAGGAACGTAAACAGACATAATAGGTTAATGTGACAATAAGTGGGATCCAGCAGCCTAAACTGTGTAAACATACATAACAGACATACAACACAACTGACTAAAATAATCAACCAAACACACAAATAATCCCAACAAAAACGCAAAAAAAGTTTTTTAGTTGATAGTAAATTTGACAAAGACGCCAACAAAAAAATCTTTTAAGTTAACAAAGTAACAAACTATTTACGATATAAATGAGATGAAAGATAATTATATAAAAAAGATGAAATGTTGTAAATTACCTTATAAATGTTGTAAATTACCTTATAACATGTATGTATCATACTGGAAATTTTTTAGTACACCTGTGTGCGGTTATGCGTGATTAAAATAAGCACAGACTTATATTTAACTGTTAATTAGGTTTCATACATTGGAAATTGAACTGTAGTAGATTTTGTAAATTAGTGTATATTGAATTAACATTGATACGGATAATACAAAAACATGTTATTTTATAACTTAATTCCCTCTCAAATGAACACAGCTTTGATATTGCAATTTTATATATAAGTAAGTTACCATGACTTTTGCTGTTAACTTTTCTGATTTGCTGAAGTCATTCATTGCTCCTCGTTTTCCAGATTGCACCATCAATTTTAATTCTGTCGGGAGAGTTTGGGAGAAACTCTACAAGGCTAAGGTTCCGATTAAACGTGTTGTGTTCCGCACTTGAAATTGTCAATTGTCTTTTGCGGTCCCCTCTGTAGCCGATTGGAGAACTCGGAATGTAATCGAGTTGATCATTGTTCCGATCCAAGGTGTAGTTCTCCTTATCTGACATTGTCGATTCTTTATTAAGATTTCTCTTCCCAACCCTCTTATGGCTGTTTGGGGAACTTGGGGGAAAATCTATCGGGCTATGCCCCCGGTCAGAAGTGTTGTTCCTTTCATTCAAAGTTGTCAATTTCTTATTCAGATGTTTGTGCATGTTCCTTGTGATGTCGTTTGGAGAATCTGGTATGCATTCTCCCGAATGGCTTTGGTTCAAAATATTGTCAGATTTCTCAGTTATCACGTCTTCCTTCTTGTCAAAATTAAAGCTAATGGGAGAAGTAGGCATGACATCTTTTGGACTGTGTTTTCGATCTAAAGTATTATTGTCTTTTTTCGCATTTGCCAGTCCATTCTCGAAATATTTTATTTTTCGGTCAATAGTTCGCCAATTTGGGGAGTCTTGAACCTTGTCTGGTTGTCTTTGGTGCTGATTCAGGATATTGCTTTCCCATTTACGAACCGCATTTATGTCTATTTTTCCGTCCGAGTCATATGTTTCGTCGAATGAATGATATTTGCTGTCTCTTTCAATATTTCCCAATTTCTGAGAAAAATATGTACCAGCTTTCTCTGAATCACTATTATTTTGTTTCTTAAACGAAGAATCTCTCTCCACTCTCACACAAGAATAACTATATTTCTTATTTTCACACGCTGCATTGTTCTTTTTGTCGTGTGCATTTTTCGCTTCCTCTATCTCAAAATGAATTTTATTGCTATTGCTGTTGTGATTGAAATTTTTCTTATCTTTCTTCTGTTGCTCGCAGGTATAGGCATTGTGTGGGTTTGATTTACCTTTTACCCCGAATTTGTCTTCCCTCGTTACCGATACGTTGACTTCTGTTACGTTTTCTGAGCTTTCTCTTCCAACTGACGCCGTGATACATGTAATGCTTTCAGAGGTGAGATCTAACTTGACTGGTGTTTTTTGTTTGCATGTTTGGTTAACACCACCTGACGGAAAAAGTAACCCTTCGTCTTCAGAATATGGGAACGGTGGAAGTTTTTCAATGTTTGCACCCTTGTCCCAATCGCTTGAATGTTTCACATAAAACTCAAAATCATTGATGCTGCTTGTTAAGTCGTTTATAGAGAGTCGTCGAGACAACAGAAGCTGGACTTGCTGTCTTCCCTTCTTTCTTCTCCATGGAGTTAAACCAATTAAATTCTTTTCCCCTGTAAACTTTCTTCTGTAATTGTAAATCATTAATTATGCGTGAATAGGATGAATATACTCACTGCGTAGCATCACAACCGGATATAGGTACCCCCGAAGCGGTGAAAGTCAGGTAAGGTCAATTTCTTCTTATTTTCATATATTCTACGTTTTGCTGACAAGTAAAGTTTTGTGATACTGATAACTAATAATGTAGCTACTACCTAGGGCTAATTATGATCCTTAATTTGCCTTCTCTCTCTTCATATCGTCAGAATCGGATAGACGAGTTCAAACTTGTTTGAAACACATTTATCCTTCAACTATTCGTTTGACGTTTTCGTAGAACAAAGGTATATCATATTTAAGATTGAACAGCACTTTATTTCGAAATAAACTATTGTTTATACAGAAAAATTCAATGTAAATAAAGCGAATAAAGTGTACGGCGAATAGCGGCAATAACTTGTTTACTGTACGGGGATTCGAATACTAGAAGGTACTTTTTGCTGTCATTGTTTCTATGCTTCGGGAGTACCTATATCCGGTGGTGATGCTACACAGTGACACTGAGGATGAATAAAATTTATATTCAACAAACTTGTCGATAACTACTTTACTTCTTTTCGTTTTCCCCTTACATTTATGTTGAGTTTTCAATGTAAATAACTGCTAATTTTAGGCACCAAAACTCAATTTCATGGGTTATATATTGAAAAAAAATCGATGCGGTATTACTTTCTTCTTATTATTGTTTTTTTCTTTACACTTGTTGACTTTACGATTGAGATTGATTGATGGGTGTTTGCTTAAAAAAGCGCAAAAAGGCTACATCGCGGCGATCTCGATTTAGAGAGTTCATTTGGTGATTAGTTAAAAGAAGGTGTATTATACGTTTAATAAAAAAAAACTGTATGTTCTAGCAACCGTTTTCACCGTTTTTTCCGAGAGAAAAAATCGGGCGTACAAACAAAAACAAACAACAACGAATAAGACATGGTCAGGATAGCCTAACAGTGTACAGGGCACACAATGTGGTGTAAAACTGAGTAATTCACTTAATTCATGCTAAAATTGTAATTATATAATTTCAAAATTTCAACCACCTGAAGCAAGACACATTCTTATCATACATGAACTAATATGTTTTTGTTAAAAAGTCATGATAGGCTAGCTATTGAAGATAGTAATGTTTACAACCTATTTCCATTCTCTTAGCATGTCGATCGTTTAATAGTTTCAATCAGTTTTGTAAGGATTGGACACCGTTTCATTCGGTATCATTCCAAAACCCGGTTTGTGTGTGTGTAAGTTACATACATCTGTTCAAAAGAAACGCGCAAATGAGTCTTTCGTATGTTAGACATGGGTTTTCAAAACGTGAAGGCGCTTTCAGATTTGTCCTTTATATGACATTGATGACAGAATACAGTGCTAAACAATGTGTAGTATACATACCTCCGATAACAGATCAGAGCAATGGCCAAAGACAATAAAATCCCGAAAGCCAGAACCGCTGCATAAACTGAAACGAAATGGAATTCTTAAGAAATTTTCAATGATTTTTAAATGAACATTTATCAGTACGATGTTGCTAGTTTGATAAAAATAAATGGTACCAATTTTACTGCACCAGATGCATATTTCGACTGGTAATGTATCTTCAGTGATAATCGAGGCCAAAATATTTGAAAAACCAAAACTTATACAAACGTTGAAGATCTAATCAAATTAAGAAGGACCTACAGTATAGTGAAATCAAGATAGGGAACCAGAGCTTTCCGAGAGGGAGATATATTCCCTAAATCAAAACGATTTCCATAAGTTTATAAATCACCAAATTTCTACCAAACAGTATCCGTATTTTCATGCCAATACCGAAAAACTGGCTACTGGGCTGGTGATACCCTCGGGGACTAACAGTATAAAAGTATGCTTCCTACAATGTTTATCAAAAGAATATTTGCATCATATTCAATCACTATTTAAAAGATATTTTGATGTGAATTGTACAGAATACAAATAAAGGTACTTTGGGTCTACTATTGTATGTCTTATATAAATAAGATGTGGTATGATTGCCTATGAGACAACTCTCCACTAGAGACCAAATGCCATAAGAGTTAACAACTATAGATAACCGTACGACCTTCAACAATGAGCAAAACCCATACCACATAGTTATCTATAAAAGGCCACGAAATCACAAATGTAAAACAATTCAAACAAGAAAACTAAAGGCCTGATTTATGTACAAATCAATGAACGAAAAACAAATATGATATACAGCAATATAACGACAACACTGAAATACAGGCTCCTGACTTGGGACAGGCACATACAAAATGTGGCGGGGTTAAACTAGTTTGCTGGCGCAAAAACCCTCCCCCTAACCTTTGACTTTGATTTAACAACATATCTTGTAATTTTAAATCTAAACATGTATATAGTTACCCAAAATTAGGTTCAAATATTCTGTAGTAAAACTTATCACTTAAAATTGAAACAGCTGCCATCATGATTTCAGATACATGTATTATATTCTAATCTTTTTCTTATATTTGAATAATTAAAATAGAATTGATTATTTGAAATGTCTTTCCGAATTCACTTAAAACACGTAGTACTTACATATACCTAAGATTCTATAACACTTAGCGTGAAGAATTTCTACGTCAAGTGTGACTTGTGTTGTGTTGTCGACATCGATAGGGTCACACTCACCAAACATTGTTCTGATTCTTAATTAAAGTCACCTGATAAAAAGAAATAAATAAAAAATAAGGTTGTTTTCTCTTTCCCCCTGCCATAAATACCAAAAAATCCATTACCTTTCGCGCACTATTACAAATATTAATTTCGATTTCGATATGTAAACGTATGAAACAATTAAAACAACATCTGTCTCATGTCCACACCATATCAAGCAAGACACACCCAATTCTGAATAATGTCTTGTTACACAGAAAAAATAATCTGAATCTCTATGATACGTTTACAAAATTGTACTTACTACCGAGTAGAAATCATAATCTCCAGTATCCTTCCCCCCTCAAGTTATCAATATGTAATCAAATTTGTAGATTTTTCAGAAAATAAAAACATTCATGCTAATAAGTTTGCATCCTGCATTATTCACTCCGATATATTCATTGGAAACATGTTTATTGTGATAAATAGATGTCATATCTGGATTAAAGTACAAATTAATATTTTAAGGCAATGGCAAATATTTTTTTTAACAAAACAATTTTTCTGATTTCATAGTGAATTTATGTTTGAATTCTATATGTCTTTTTTTTCATTTCTTTCTTATCACGAAGCCTAATATCTGGTTAGTTATCAATGAGTTAGGTTCTCATCAAAGACAAAACAAGTAAATATCCTACTATTAATAATAAAGAGATGTGGTATGATTGACAGTGAAACTACTATCCATCAGAGAGGAAAGTACCTGATTTAGCAATTACCATATACTGGTACTTCTTTATTGTAATCTGTAAAACCCTTTTACCCTTACATTTTCTTTATAAAGCATACCAAAGAATCTTGTATAACCCCTTTTCGTTTCATCGTCTCAAGACTTTCATTAGTTATGCAACGAAGAGTCTTACAAACAAGACTTTCATAACGTATGCAACAGAGCTTCATACGAGCAAGACTTTCATAACGTATGCACCAGAGCGCCATACAAACAAAGCTTTCATAACATATGCACCAGAGCTTCATACGAGCAAGACTTTCATAATGTATGAACTAGAGCGTCATACGAGCAAGACTTTCATAACATATGCACCAGAGCGTCATACAAACAGAACTTTTATAACGTATGCAACAGAGCGTCCTACGAGCAAGACATTCATAACGTATGCACCAGAGCGTCACATAAGCAAGACTTTCATAACGTATGCACCAGAGCCTCATACAAACAAAACTTTCATAACGTATGCATTAAAGCTTCATACGAGCAAGACTTTCATAATGTATGCACTAGAGCGTTCCACAAGCAAGAATTCCATAACGTATGCACAAGAGCTTCATACGAGCAAGACTTTCATAACGTATGCAACAGAGCGTCATACGAGCAAGACTTTCATAACGTATGCACCAGAGCGTCATACAAACAAAACTTTCATAACGTACGCACCAGAGCTTCATACGAGCAAGACTTTCATACCGTATGCACTAGAGCGTCACACAAGCAAGACTTTCATACGTATGCACCAGAGCGTCATACGAGCAAGACTTTCATACCGTATGCACCAGAGCGTCACACAAGCACGACTTTCATACCGTATGCACCAGAGCTTCATACGAGCAAGACTTTCATAACGTATGCAACAGAGCGTCATACGAGCAAGACTTCTGTTACTATTGCAGCAGAGCGGCATATGAGCAAGACTCTTTATTAATGCAGCAAACCGACATTCGAACAAGACTCTTTGCTTTTATGATACAGAGCGGTATACGAGAAAGACTTTCTTCATTAACAGCAGATCGGCATATGAGCATACGAAGCAGAGCGGCATACAAGAAAGACTTAACTTATACAGGAGAGTGGCATACGAGCAAGGCTTCCATTATTTCTGCAGGAAAGAAACATACAAGCAAGAGTTTCTTTACTTATGCATCAGAGCGGCATACGAGCAAGACTTTCTTTGTTTATGCAACAAAGCGTCATACGAGCAATACTTTGTCGTGTGTTGCTGTATATCATATTTGTATTTCGTTCATTGTTTTTTACATAAATCAGGCCGTTAATTTTTCTCGTTTGAATTGTTTTACATTTTTCATTTCGGGGCCTTTTATAGCTGACTATGCGGTATGAGTTTTGCTCATTGTTGAAGGCCGTACGGTGACCTATAGTTGCTAACTTCTATGTCATTTGGTCTCAGATGGAGAGTTGTCTCATTGGCAATCATACCACATCTTCTTATTTCTATATTTCTTTACTTGTGCGGCAGAGCGTTGTATGAGCAAGACTTTCTTTCCTTATGCAGCAGATTGGCATACGGGCAAGATTTTATTGTGTATGGAACAAAGAGGAATACGAGCAAGACTTTTTTTGTTTATGCAACAAAGCGTCATACGAGCAAGACTTTCTTTACTTATGCGACAGAGCGGCATACGAAGAAGACTTTCCATTACTAACGCAGCAGGGCGTAATACAAGAAAGACTTTCTTTACTTAAACATCAGAGCGTCACATGAGCAAGACTTTCTTTATTAATTCAGCAGATCTGCAAACGAACAAGATTTTTTTTGTACTCATGCAGCAGATCGGAATACGAGCAAGACTTTCTTTATAAATGCAGCAGAGCGGCATAAGACCAAGACTTCCTGTTGGTTATGTATCAGTACGTCTTACGAGCAAGATTTTATTTACGCATGCAGCAGCAGAGCGACATATGTAGTAATAAGGAGTTTTTACCTTTTTTAACCATTTTTAACTAATTCATACAGATTGTTTATATGCTGTGCTGTTACACCACTGTCCTATTTAAAAGGGGGTTGAGCGCTCACATGCATGTTGAACCCCGTTTCATACTCTATATGCCTGTTTCATGTGGTTGTCGTTAGTTACTCTCTTTCCTATGTGTGTTGTCATACATCAGGGTTTTTTTTGGGTTTTTTCATTTGAAATGATTCACATTTTTTCATGTTGGAGCCTTTTATAGCTGACTATACGATATGGATTTTGCTCATTGCTCATTGCTAACGCCTTCATTGGGGCACGAACCACATTTAATAATCCTCATCCGAAAAATAATGAAATTGGTTTAATATCAATCATGTTAAGACTAAATAAGCCAAATAAAAACCTTATGAGTTGTTCTGTTTTTTTTAGCAATTTTGTTCCAATTTTTATAACTGTCTGTCAAACTAAGAAATTGAATATTTGGCCTTTTGTCTCCCAAAAAATAATATTTCATACAAGTGGTGCCAAGCACGGAAATAATAGGCTCGTTTAAATCTACATATATCCGTTTGATATAAATCAACCCGGAAATATTCGAAAAAATAGTTTATTGACAATTGTAATTTAAAAAAATATATAAATACATGTATTATCATACGATCAAAAGTGATAATAAAGTTTGCACTCAACCTTTTTTTGTGAAACTTAAATGAAGGAAATGCATTTTACAAAATCATTCAAAAGCGATTTTACCTCTCCTGGAGTACATTTATTTAAGTATTTTTATGATCTATTTATTATCGCCGGTTATTGTAATTTATCAACATTGATAGAGATATAAGTTTTCCCCCCGAAATGCATAAATTTAGAATAAATCACATTTCTAATTTCATATGAAAAAAAAAGCTTCTACAAAAAGCCAGCGCTATGTGACAGATTCATAAAAAGAACACTTAGTTTGGCTATAACATACAGAATTTTGAATGTTCTGCTAAAAATTAAGCAAGAATAATTAAAAAGAAAAAAAAGCATAAACACACACATACAAAAGAAATCTCCATACAAAAACTATAATATACTTTGAGTGTAGAATAAATGTTGTTCCATATATAGTAACAACCTACACTTTTAATTTGTTGTTGCGAAAAGAAGTCTGCTGCGTTAAACAAATAAATTTGTCAGATGTGTTTCTGTACGTAATGATGATCTTCTGTTTTGATATTGAAACTCGAAAATCCCCAGATTACTCTATCATAATATAAAGGATAAATATCAAAGCGTTAACGGAAATCTTCAACGCAAGGCTATGTTATCTAAATATATTAAAAGAATTGATACATAAAGTTCACTTTAAGTTCACAGATATTTACAACATCAAGAGAGTTGAAAGACAGAAAAATGTATTTACTGCTAAAATCATAACATCAAATCACCATTCTGATAATGTGAAAAAAGTATAACTAGTCTCTTAAGGCTTAAACGAGGGAGAACAAATAGAGGATACATAATTTAAGCACATGCTATCCTCATACTAGTAAAACAAAAACGATTTTTCAATGATAATCTTATGCTTGTTTAAAAAAAATACTTTTGAGTACACTCAATTAAAACCTTAATAAAACTAACAATTGTAAACAACCAGAGACGATCAAAATACAAGATATTAACCGGTGTGGGTGCTAATGTGAGGTAGCATCCCAACAGCCCTACAAAACTAAAACTAAAACTACAAAACAAAATCTAGATGTCTAGGCACCGTATTCAAAAATATATATCATATATGTCGAACCCTTAATAACCCGAAACTGGAGAGCCTATAAGAGATATCTTCTTGTTTTCTTAAGATGAAAAAAAAGTTTTAGATAGGTATGATTCTTCAGGCGTTACACGTAATATAGTCTTAAAATGAAGAAAAAAACTTGAGACACAGACTAAATAAAAAACGTCTCATATTAAGAATAATTTAAGAAATACACTGATTTTTGGCTTCATTTTTCTCTCACATGTATTTCATTTAAATAACCAGCCTTTGAATTAATATGTCCCAACAGATGTATGAACCATAAATAAAAAAATCAGCCATGGAATAAATCATATTAATCCCTATACAACTTTGTCGATAATGTCATTGTATCATAAATAAAAGTTACTTGCAAATAATAATGACCCACTAGTAAGATACATAGGGCTGATATAACGCATCTTTATTTGCTCATTTGTAGAGTGGTTCATGCGTGAATTTAACTTACTAATTGTATGACCAGTAACTTTTATGGATAATAGGATACAGCAGAAGAGCTAATTGACCATTTGGGAAAAGTTAATACGAGCAGTGTAGCTGATATTTTGAGCGTTCTGTCACAATGTATAAGAAAAAAACCTCTGTCACTTTTATATGAAATTCTGTTTTCTTTGTACAAAACATTTTCACCTATAGTGTCATCACTTTGGGCATGTAATATACTTTAACTGCATATTTTTCATGTTAAATTCGAATAACTGTGTATTGCATTTAATTGGCAATACCAAAACAACAAAAATAACTTCGCTTTTAAGCTTATCTGGTCTATTATGCTAATATAAGCTATTGCCAACACTTATGTCCTTTTTTACCAGTTGCAGTCTAAATTTCGGCAAACTAAAACGGTTGAACCACTTTTGCTGAATCTACCTCCTGGGTTGGAGGATTATTTGTTTTCGTTATTTCCAGCCATGTAATCTTGCAAATAACCTGATCCTCTCA